GAATAGATGGCTGCTTGTTCTTCTATTGGAAAACAATACACTGCTTCAATTGGTTTTGTTTCATTATTTCGAAAAACTTGTTTGATGGTGACATCTGCAGCAAATGATCTAATGTGTGCTTCGACACTGACTTGTTTTAAGGGTACATATTGTTGTTCTGGCTGTTGTGTAGAAAAGGCAGAATCTTGCTTTATTCGGAGCATTGCATAGAATAGTATTTCTGCTGAAACTATTCGCTTAAATACTCAAGGCTGGCTTACTGAAGAGCACGAGGTAATGTGAAGATAAGAACGAAAAATATGACAGTGTGATTCATGGAGAAGAAAACAGTGTTGACGATATGCTGCAAAATATGAAAGGTAAAAGAGCAGTGAGTATTGCAACGATGATTCAGTTCCATGAATAAGAGATGTGATGTGTCTTGTTTGCACACATGGGCAATCGTGATGATACTATTTCATAACGTTGTGAAAGTATTTGAGCAAACTTTTATTACCATGACTTATATATTATGGTACCCCTACACTTCGTCCCCTTACATTTCGTCCCATTCAATTCGTCCCAATTACATTTCGTCCCTTTTCAATTTGCTTCCTTACAATTCGTCACAATTTTATTTTGTCCCCTTACATTTCGTCCCATATTGTAACTATTCATTCCCAGTATAGCAATATGAGATAAAGTTTATTTTAATAAATTTAACTGCTTTAAAACTGATAAGTCCTTATCACATGTGAATATTACCATAGAATCATCTTCATATAGAATAAAACTTTCTCCTCGATCAGTTTGTCGTAATATTAAAGGTAAACGACCATTATGATCAAGTTGCATTGCTGGTCGCTCACATCGAATCGTTTGCAACAATGCGTCATTTGTAGGTAAATCAGTAGTTATAGTTAATGGAATTGTCCGTAATACATCAAATAGTATCGTACTAGCTCCTTCATCTGATGATGCACCACGACTTTTAATTTCATTTTTAAGTCGAATGAGGTGCATCCGATCTGGATCAGGTACATGAAAATGTTTAGATGGTTCTTTGAGTAATACTTCCATCTGAATATTCGTTTGACAACGATCAAAAAATAATATCAAGCAAAGTTAAAAGATTAGATTTAACGATTTCCACTTACTTCTACAATTTCGATCTTCACAACAAAATATATGTTTTTCTTCTGTTATTCGATGTTGAGTGTACAAATATTCTGAAAAATATATCATTGAATTTCCTCGAGAACTCTTTCATACCTCAATAGTATTCATATTTTTGTTTATACTATTTGTACAAAGTTGTACAAAATGCCAATAACTACGAGCGCACGTGGTTGAATGACAAATAGAAAATTAATCTCGATAAATATGTAGAATAGAAAAAAGGAATATATTCATTGTTCATTGGTCATTTATTATCGCGATGATTCACTAGACGCGACGATAAGTATTTACACGACATCTAATTAAAATAACTAAAAGTTGATCTTAGCAAAGATATGAGACAAATTGTAATTGGAACGAAATGTAATGGGACGAAATGTAATTGGAACGAATCGTGTGGGGCGAATTGAACGGGACGAAATGTCATGTACCGAAGTGAGCGGTCACCCTCAAACGATTGTGCTTCATAAAAACATTGGTATAATTCACGTGAAAAACATTTGTTTCAATATGCATTTCACTGCCTCATTTCTCTGCTAGATATCCAAATAACAAAGAAGCCGGATAGACTGATAGCTTCAAGTTCAATAAAAAAATTTGACAATGCTTACTTTTAGACGCTGTAATACAATCAAACAATGTACAAGAAGATGTAATCCGACTATAATGTATGTTACAGTAACAAATATATATGTCAGGCAAAACTAAACTGAGTTTTTACAAGATGTAAAATAGAAAAATAACAAAGCGATGAATTTAAACAGCTGATTTTATCTCTCTATGTTAAGTTATGTTCAAGTTTAATTAAAGTCTAGCGAATTCAGAGAAATTCTAGAATTCTTTAGTGTTTTTTATTTCAGTTTTGAAGGCTGAAGAAAACGAAAATTTTATGATTCTGATCTTTCGGAGTATGTTCTGTTTATTCACAAAAATCCTGATAAATAGGGTTTTGCGAATATTGTCTTTCTGAAGATTCGACATACGTAAAACGACATAACAACAACAATAACAGTAGACAATAATCTCTTGCAACTATTAATTTATATATGACCGCTATGAAAATAGCTCATGGTAGATAATAAAGCACATGGATTGTTCAGTTATGAATCAGGGATGAAAAGATAAATGTTTAAACGTTTAGAAACGAAGTTATTGGTAATACCGATAACATAGACTTTTGTATTGGTTTTCTTTTTTAAAAATGAAAAACAGTTTTTTATAAAAACCTATAAGAGATGTCAGTAGTACCAGCCATTATTCGTCGATCAACTACTTAGACAATTATTGCATCATTAGTGAACAGGATGTGGGTGTGTGCGTAAGATACATTCACACCCTAAAAACACTTTTTTTTTTTCTTCACGTAGTCTTAAGTATGAATAAGTTTCACCGAATAATTTGCTTCTGACTAAGAATAGCTACCCCATGAGAAGAATAAATGTAATAGAAAAACCGCAATTATACCCTAATTCCTGTTCAGAAGAAAATCATAAGAATAACTAGTGTTTCTCGCCTAATTGTAAAACAATGGCAATATCAACTTTTAATAATACTGAAAGAGATCTTTTGAGGTTTTGTTAGAATCTCTTTATTTTTCTATACAAAGGTGCAGCTATGATCAAGATAAAATATTGGTATGCTCGTACAGTCTCTTGTGTTCCAAACGAAACATAATAAAAGCTTGAGAAATTCTTTCATGTATCATTGGTGAGGTTTAATTCCACATTGGTATTCAATTTCGTTTTGTGATTGAAAGATTTACCAATATTACATAGATCCTGAACAGAATCACTTATATATCTTGGTAGGATCTTGACAATCAAATTCCACTTAAAATTCTATACAAAAAGATATCTTTTTGACTCCAAAAATGTTTTTTGATATATTTGAAAAAAGATGAAAATTAAAGGTGTACAAATATTTGTGTGTATGTGGACATCGAGTCACCTAAGACATATTTCGGTCTTGTTGAAGGGTCTGCATCACGTAGTTTGGACTAAACAACTTGAATTTCGTTTCGTTTTTCTGTTTTCTACGTGTTTGGCGCTTTTGAATTTGTAGTAACAAGCGGTGCAAAAGTCTTTGCACAAATGTCAAGCCCTGCTAGATCATATCATCGAATCTTAAACCAATCGAAATTACTTTTCTTAGAAACAGCAATGTCTGAATGTCAAATTTTCGAAGATCAAAATGAGAATGAGGAAAAGCCAAAACCCAAACATCTCTAAAAAGTTGTTCAATTTCACAATCGAGCACGGTTATCTCTCAGTTTTTTTTGTCAGTCTTTTTATATTAGAAGAGAAAAAAGAGAGCAAGTTTAATAATGGCTTTCGTAACACCAAGAGTGCTCTCCGTAATGGTATGTTGAAAACAGGATTGGTTCTAAGTTTTTATGACAATACATAGTTTCTTCTGGAACAGACTGTGGGATTCGATCGTTCTTACAACTTTACTGTTTATAGACAATAAAAAATACTTGTTGAGTGACTTCTTTTGCTAAAATTCTACGATTAGATATATTTCAACAAGATAGCGCAAAAGAGAATTCAGTCCATGTATGAGTTCTGGAGATGGTTACTACAATACACTCAATTTTGCAAAAATTTTGTGTTTCGAACTTTCTCAAATAAAGAATCAAGAATGAATTAAAAAATTGTGAAAGTGTATCGATTACTTTTGAAATGTAGATTCCGTTAGAAATGGTTGCCTATCATCGAAGATCGACTGTAATGTGTTCAAGTTTCCGTTAGATATCATCTTCTCTACTGTTAATTTTCTGTGGATAAAAGCTTTTATTTGTTTTCTGACTCTACAGAAAAATAGTATTAGTAGGCGAAACACGCATGATCAATCGATGCCCAAGAACCTTCAAAGTTGTTGACGAATGTTCTCCAGTAACGATTCGAGTTTTTTAACGTCTTTGCCAAGTAAATTGAAAAGATGTTTGCGAGCTTTTTGAACTATACCATGCCACAATGTCGACATTGTAGCGAAACGCGTTTCAAGTGTGACAATAACAATAGCCGAAGTGAGAATTTGTTTACTGTTGGATGTTGGAAAGCTTCTTAACGGTTTTCCAGTCAAGTGTTCTACATCTTTCGCATCTAAATCCCATGAACCATCAAATTTTTGTTTGCTGATCAAGTAGCGAATAATATTTTGGTTATCAGTAGGCCATGTTTCATCTTTTTCTTCGTCAATCAAAGACTGTTGATGTGAACTAAGAGTAGAACAAGCATAAGTGGATTTAAATGGTATTGAAGGGAAAGCCTGTAGAGAGAGGTCCTCTTCATCAATGTCATCGATGTGATCTTCTGAAAATGAATTTGATTGAGGTATTGGTTTACGAGTTTTATATTGTTTGTACTCCGTTGACATAGACCGATTCACGGCAGATATCGCCATTGGTACTTGTCTCATACATAATGCTATCGAACTAGATGGCATTGTATTGCCACATTGATGCGTGGAATAAGCTATCAGTAAGTGTTGGTTATCGGCTGATATTTGAATTGGTACTTCGCGCAAAACTATGTCGGTATTATTGCTATTCACTCGTTTTTCAATACCAATAAAAGCGGTATACGGACTGAGAATCTGATACCTGAGTGAGAGCTCAATAATGGATCTCTTTGTCACTTCTTTGTCATTGATTGCCGGTGCTGGTGTTGGCAATCGACGGTTTTTTCGAAAGCAACTTAGTAGCGAAATTGATTTCTTTTTCTTGATCAGAGAAGTTAATTTTGAATGTTGCAATTCGAGAATAAGTGCTTTGGCAGCGAGTCGAGCAATTGCTCCATTCGTGTTCGCGTTCGGTGTGCAATCAATTTTTACCTCGCCCAATCGACTTTTATTGGTATGTAATTCAACGCTGCAATTATGATGGAAGACAAACATTGGATCATTAGCAAGTGCATAGACAATTAGACGATCATTAGCATAAACTGGTGGTATTCTTGTTGGTGTACTCATAACAGTAGTACCCAAATTCCAGTCCACTTGTATGTCACTTATACAGGATTGCAAAGCTTTTTGTAATTGTTCACCAACATGAATATCGACACTAGTGTTAGGTGGAATAAAAACAAAACATCCATTTGTTGCTCGAGCAAGACCTTTGACAAGTGAACGACTTGGAGAATGACCCAAACCAAATGAAAAGATACGTGTAGAAGTAGCCATTGAACGACATAGATCGAGTACTTCGTTGACATTTGAAATTTCTCCATCTGTCAACAGAAATATTTGTCGCACACGACCTTTTCGTGGAGGATGCTTTTCTAACCATTTCAGTGGTTCTAACTAGAATAGAGACAAACGAAGTTTTCTTTTAGGATATAATCTATGAAACAGACTAGCTCAGTTCCGCCGAAATCCGCCCGCAGCTGATTGATAAGCCGTTCAGCTTTTTGAGTATTTTTTTCATTATAAATAGCGGTGACCTCGTCGAATAATGCCTCATGATTTGACCCGAATCGTATGATATTAAAATGACAATCTAGGGGGAGACTCTTGAAAAAGAGCAACATAGCTTCACGTGCCAATCCAATCTTGTTTTCATGTTGCATCGATCCACTACAGTCGATGACAAAAATAAACTCATTTGTCGTTTCTACGTGGTTCATCGTACGTTGACAATCTTCTTCGGTTGGTGCAAATGAAGCCATAACAGCACCTGGTTCCACTGCAACAATGGTATTTGAACGATTGCTATCTAACTCAATATCTAGCAAGATATCTCGATCTAGACGTGTGTTTTGTTGAGTGAATTGGATGACATAGATACTCTTTTGATCGACTTCAATCTGGATAGGATGAGACGTTGAACTGACTCGAGAGACATTGGTTTTCTCCACCTGACAACGAAATTCAATTGTGTATGGAGCTGTTTGAACGTATTTCGACGTTGTACCAGCTGGTGAACTGACATCACCTGTATTTGGATTGTATCGAGGTGCAATAGTTGTCGGAACCACAAAGCGAATTCTGCTTCCATTTTCAACAAGATCTAGCTCAGAGACATATGATATAGAGATGTGACATTCTTTACCAGCTGGTAGTGCACCAACATTGATTATGAAATTATCTTGAGATTTTTCATCTTGTTCAAGTAAATATGCACCATGTCCTTGTTCAAGAGCATCGCTATATTCTCGTTGAGTTTCGTTTTTTTCTTTCAATTGTGCGATGAGTTCTCGATCATCAATTCGAGCAATAAATGAATAGATGGCTGCTTGTTCTTCTATTGGAAAACAATACACTGCTTCGATTGGTTTTGTTTCATCATTTCGAAAAACTTGTTTGATAGTCACATCGGCAGCGAAAAATTTAATAAAAGTTTCGACGCTCACATGTTTTAATGGCACATATTGTTGTTCTGACTGCTGCGAAGAAACGGAAGAATATTGGCTGATTCGGAGCATTGTGCAAAATGATGTTGCTCCTGAAATTACTCATTTAAATACTCAATCGTTGCTCAGAGAAAGTCATGAGTCAATATTGAGAAAAGAACGAAGAATGCGACTGTATGATTCATAGAGAAGAAAACATAGTTGATGACATGTTGCAAAGCATGGCGGGTGCCAGTGTAGCGAGTAATGCGACAATAAGTCAATTGTAGGAGAAGAAAATGAGAAGTGTTTTGTTAGCGCACAGAACAGATCGTGTCTGATCCTATTTCATTGTATTCTAAAACGAATTGAATGGTCAACTAAGATTGAATGCAAGCTGCGGGCATTCAAAAGTTGAACGGTTTTTTTTATTGTTTTTTTCATTTGGCATAGTTCACAAAATAATGTAAGAAAATTTAGTTCGTAATTTTTTTTCGTACTCTTATTTACTAAAAAAATATCAATATATCAATATTTTTAGTAGTGAACATTCACGAAAAGAAAATGCAATCTGTCTTCCTAATCAGTGATATGAAATTGATTGACTTTTTGCATTAGTATTCACTGGAGAACTTCGTTCGACTTCAATCTGGATGGGATGAGACGTTGAACTAACTCGAGAGATGTTGGTTTTCTCCACTTGACAACGAAATTCAATTGTTTATGAAGCTGTTTGAACATATTTGGATGTGGTACCCGCTGCTGAACTGATACCACCTTTGTTTGGATTGTATCGAGGTGCGATAGTCGTTGGAATAACAAATCGAAATACAGCTTCCATTTTCAACAAGATTGAGTTCAGAGACATATGATATAGAGATGTGACATTCTTTACCAGCTGGTAGTGCACCAACATTGATTATAAAATTATCTTGAGATTTTTCATTTTGTTCGAGTAAATATGCACCATAATCTAGTTCAAGAGCATCGCTATATTCTCATTGAGCTTCGTTTTTTTTTCTTTCAATTGTGCAATAATTTCTCGATTATCAATTTGAACAATAAATGAATAGATTGCTGCTTTTTCTTCTATTGGAAAACAATACACTGCTTCGGTTGGTTTTGTTTCATCATTTCGAAAAACTTGTTTGATGGTAACGTCTGCAGCAAAGGATTTAATGTATGCTTCGACGCTCACATATTTCAATGGCACATATTGTTATTTTGGTTAATGTGTAGAAAACGGAGAGTCGTGTTTGATTTGAAGCATTGTGTAGAATAATATCGCTAGTAAAATCACTCGCTCAAATACCCATAGTTTGTTTACTGATGGTTATGAGTCAATGTGGGAAACCTAGCGAATAAAACAACTGTGTTATTCATAGAGGAAAAAACCTTGTAAACGACATGATCTAGAACATGACGAGCGCTGATGAAGAGAGTAGTGTGGCAACGAGTCAGTTGTATGAATAAGAGATACGATATGTTTTGTTTATGTACATGGGTCACCATGAGTGATACTATTTCATAATGTTGTAAAAGTATCTGAACAGTCGAATAGAATTGGAACTCAAGTTTGAATATTAAAAATTTGAGCAATTTTTTTTTTCGATGATCTATATGTCGTTAGATACAGCTAAAAGACTTGTGTTGTAAAATATGTTTTGGAAATTTTCATTCGTGGTGTTATTTACAAAGAAAGTGGCAAAATACTGCAAAGACAGTACATGTAAGGCCAGATTAGCTTCAATAGAACATTGCTAAACCAATATCATAAATTTTGTTGATATGATTATAATAGATCTGAATGTGATGGTATCGGTCTGCGTCGTCGACTGTGTCTTCACCTGAGCTCCTCAAAAGCAAAAATGATCATGGCCTTATATTTCTTGGAATGAGATTCGATCATATCTGGTAAGGAAAAAGCCTTGGGCACAATTGCTCTAAAGTATTCTTAATCTCACTGAGATCTACTAATGTTCATACTACAGATTCAAAAGCTCCAAAGCAGCTTTTAATATCTTTCTCGCCAGTATCTTTAATCTTCCGCATCCCTAGTCTCGTAAGTATGTCGCATCTTGTGATATAAATAAGCACAACCTTTCATCACGGTCAACAATATTTCTAGATATCATTACAATCATTACTGATTAGAGATATAGGCGCAATCAAGTGTGTTCCCGTACGATCTTGATTCGATCATAATATCATCTCTTTTTGTGGTCTCCATTGTGGCTTATAGAAAAGTATTTCAGGATTTAATTCTTATGGAATCTAAAAAATAGTTTTAAATAACTGTTTTTATTCATTCAGTCGATCAATGTTTCATTTATTGATAATCGCTTCTAAAATTTGCTTTGATTAATATGATTTATAACATAATTTGCTAAAAACCGTGGTTTAGTAAGTTTTAGTTCTACTTCGTACAAGTTTTTTCTCGTAACTCTTCGATCCGACACATCTCTAGTGTTGACAACTCCAAACTAACTGTTCTCGCGAATCCATATGGTCAAAAGCGTCTACATTTGGCCGACGAAACACAACCTCTAAATTAAAGAAAAAGCATAACTAACAATTTTTCATATTCGCTCGAATTAGATCATCATCATGTCACTGTGTAAATCTTGAGTTGTATTACTTTATGAAATTATGTTCTGTTTGAATGATCATAAAATATCTCTCTTCATAGTTTTCCGAATATATCAAAATTATTTTATTTTTGTCTTCGTAAATCAGAATAAAACAGAACAACATCATATAAATATCAATTGGAAACAAACTTCGCTACACAACATATATGCAGATTATAAAACAAAAATCATAAAAGATTTAAATTTTCGAAGTGGACGAATATTGTTCATTATTATCATTCGATATCACTTCTCGATTAGCAGTGGCACCAGCATCAACAATAGCTGCATCAAGTGCCACTGTATCAACAAGTAATTCTTGATCAATATTTTGTTCGTCATTACCAACATTTAGATTTTCATCTTCTTCATTTGAACTTTCGCTTTCTTCAGTTGAAAGAGTTGGTGATTCATTACTTGGTTTTATATTTTGTGTAGTAACATCCTTTCGTCTATCAAGATAACATAAGGATTGACCAAGTCTAATTGGATCACCAGATTTAAAATTAAAAACAAGATTGTCAGGTGCTTCGAAAACAAGTACAATAGTAGAACCTTCAAAGAAAAAACAAAAAAATTATCAAAAAAGAAATATTTCTTTTAATTTACTAACCAAAATTAAAATCACCAAAATTATCAGCACGTTTAAGTAAAATTCCATTTGAATTTCGCATTGTTTGAAATGTTTTTTCTAATCTTGGTCGACAACGATTATTTGTTTTTAATTCCTACGAATGAAAAAATAAAACAAAAAAAAAATTTGAATTGATTAATATTGAAGTATTTTCTTACAGGATCAAAATGAACATTAATACTACCAACAATTGTTGCTCCAACAGCTGTCATAGAAAAAAATCCGTATTTCCATGAACCATAATAAGCTGCTCGTTCATTTAAACAAAACAAATTTTGAAGCCAACTAGCAACTTTTGGATTTACTGAAAATAAATGACCAATATAATGACGACGCCAACTTATTTGCCTGTAAGCAAAAAAATAGAATAGAATAAGAAAAATATAGATATAACATACCATTCTGTTGGTGAATGAAATCGATGATAATCTCCAGGAGCAAGATAAATAACCTAAATATAATTTTTTTCTACTTAATAGTCATTCATTTTGTTTTGTCGTGCATAATATTTACATCCAGAACATTATAGCAACGACACTTACATATCAACTTAATTTTTCCAGAATGAAACATATAATAAAGAGCGAAAGATTGGTTTGAACAGAATAGATCATATCACCAAATCTGTTCAAGCAGCTCCTCTGATAAGAACTGATCTCTTATCAGCTTTGTAGTTTCTGAAGTAGTGCAGTACAAAAAATTTTTGTTCTATTTTGGTAATAGTATTCCAGTCATAGAACAAAAGTTGATCGGACAGATTGTTTCTTGAAACTGAGCTGTTAAAACATTGCAAAATCTGAGATCAGAAGCTGAACTAAACTTCTTGACATCTGGTTTAGGACGAAAGCACATATATAAAAGAAGAAGACATTATGGATTCTGTTGAACATTTATGGATTCTTATATAACTGGTTGTACTTTATTAGAGTTCATATACTTAGTAAATCAAGTTACATTTCGACAAATCTTATACGCACGTCTTTTCTTTGAAAAATACATAGACATTTTGAATTATTTTGTAAGTGATTGGCTTCATGAAGTCCATCTTATTGAACTAATTACAGCTATTAGTATGAATAAAAAAAAGAAAAATGTTTTTGACTATCTGAAAAGAATGTCGAAGTAAAAATCGCATTTGTTGACCCTCTTTCCATAGAGTGATTTATTAGTTGATGAAATTGCCATAGAATTCTGAGAAGTTACTCTTTTGAAATTGTTAATCCATTCATGTATGATTTTATATAATGTTTTTTTGTACAAGAACTTAATATCATACTATCTGCATAAAATCAAATTAAGCATATAACTGAAACTCAATTGATACATTATGATCATAGTATAGAATTTAGTGAATATAAAAAGCCAGAAACATCAATTGGTCTGTTTTGTCCTGCAGACCTGGCAAGGAAAAGTGTGACTACAGTATTTTGGAGTTCTGAAGTTATGTTTTTTTTTCCTCACTGTTATGACCTTTCCTCTCCTCTCGCGGTTTTTCATGGGCGTTCTTTATTAAGGACTTCTTTTGCTTCCATACCATAGAACCAATGAAAGGAAGAGAAGAGAAAAATAATCTTATAAGTAAGTAATGGTGAAGCACTATCATGAGCAAAAATGTTGCTCAATCTTTTTTTTAATCATCATACTCACTGCATAATAGAGTGCATGACTACGATATCTAAGTAAACTTTCGGCATACGAATGTGCATCATCATAATCATAATTAGAATTAGATCTTGTTTGATTTTGTTGTTGAAATTTCATTATACCAGCCGTTAATGGAACGCCAAGAAATGAAGATGCACTATAGGTTATACCTTTAACTTGTTCAATAAGACCACGAGATACTTTCCCACATGTTAAAACACGACCATCACATGGTGATACAATTGGAGATTGTTTATCTACAGGACGTAATTCCATTTTTATTTTACGACGAAAAAATTCTGATATTGTAGAGTAAGATTTAAGATCTTGATTATACATTTCATGAGCATGACATGAGAATATTTTTATATAAAAATTAAAAATTAGTGGACGAAGCCATATAGGTAAATAAAGACGACTTATCCAACCCATTACACGAGAGATTAATTTAAGTGGTAACATTTTATAAATTGATACCTAAATTAGAAATTTTAAAAGATCATACTCATTTACTTATAATCATTTGATATTCTCATTTTTTTTTCGATTACTTTTGATGGTGCTTTTGGTTTCTTTAATAAAGTTCTTGGTTTTTTAACAAAATGTTTCATTCTTGCTATCCGTTTTGCAGTTGATGATATACCATGTATTGATCTTGACATAGTATGTCTAACACCAGTACCTAATTTTTGTCGTACTAATGCAGCACTTCGTTTAACTCGTCGACTAACAACAAGTGGTGTTAAAATAAACATCATGGCAAGATAAAATGGAGTTGATGTATCACCTTCTTCAACAAGTTCTTCGTCAGGAAAGAACATTTTTAATTAATTGATTAATAACACAACAAAAGAACTGACTACAGTAAATATCTAAAAGACTGAAGAAAGTTTTATTTGCTTTTTTTGTGAGAGTTTAGATGTTGAGTTCGAAAAAATTAGAAAATCTTCACTTAGATTCAATTAAACATATTGAAATCTTGTTTTTGGTAATAGAGATCTATGTAAAATATAATTTTATAGAAATAAAATAAACAAATATTGCTTTCGAATATCATTATTAACTTTCGTAAAGAAATATAATCTAATGTTATATGTTTTTAGAAAAATTAATAATAATATTTCAAAATAGTACTTATTTCTTATATCTGTATGAAAGCAAAATAAAACTTGTAATAAATTCCTATTACTCATAAAAAGAAAACAATCTGTTCGATTGAACTTAAGTGAAGATATTTCAAATTTTTATCCTACTACTTATTTTTGGTTCACCTAACATATACTAACAGTGTTAATAACAAAAAAAAGGAGAAGTCGAAAACCGAAAAGATTTTCGTTTGTTCTGCAATGAGTAAAAAAAACGAAAAAGAAAACAATTGACAAAAAAATATCTACAGATAGATGTGGAAAGACTTGTTAATAGAAGCTGAAATGTCACAAAAAAGTTGTTTTCTTTTATGTCATAACTATTTGTTCTTCTTTACTTTTGCATCACTTTTTATTACCGACATATTAATCATCAATTGTATAACCACATAAGCAACGAGAATAATCAATGTAAAAATGATTTTTCCAAATAATGTACTATGCAAGATAAATTTAATAAACCAAACCAAAGAAGGTATACCAATAGTAACAAGCCAAAAAATTTCAATTAAAAGATCAGAATAATTCCGAACAACAGGTACTTCTGGTAAACCAAGACCATCAAAATTATCATGTTGAACAAAATGATCATAGATACGATCCTTTATATATAAAAAATTAAAAAAAAAACAAATACAGTCGATTCGAGTATGATTTTATACCTAATAATTTAGAATTATTAGAGATATTTTATTTGTTTTTCGGATTTTTTTCTTTTCTTAAATTACCTTTTCTTGAAAAGTTTTGTGAATCCATTCACCACATTTTGTTTCATCCTCATATGGAATTTCGGGTGTATGAGTTCGTCTAAAAAAATAAACTTTTTGTCAGTATAAAAAACCTCTTCGGAAGAATAAAAGATCATGACTTTCTACTATGAAAATTCTCGGTGCTCCTCTAAAGATGGCCTTCTATTCCTTAATAGGTTTTTGATAATATTTACCTAGAAAATCTAGGGTTTTTAAAAATCTCTTCAAGTATTTCAAAATGCATTTTTAGCAAGTAGGTACTGGTACATTAGAAGTTTTTGTACAAAAAAACGAACTTTTTTATTATAAAAGCTACTATTGCAATCCATGTGGAATTAAAATATGAAACACGATATAGCTGTTGTAGGTAGCCACAGGTAAATTGTTTAATTCTATCTATCTTGAGACATATTTCTTTATCATTCTTTCACTCAATCCTGCATAAATGCAAATCGTTTATCAACAACATTTGTCATGGTCTGTTCGGAGGACAAGTTGAAATCTCCAACCCTATACTTCACCACTCCTTTTAGATCACGTTTCACAAAAAACAGCAATCTTAATTTAGTATGCTCAATTTTCGAAAAATGCTTCTGAAAAATTCAAAATTTTCTATTACGCCTTGTAAATGACCTTCTATTCTGAGTAGCAAAGGAAGAATATCTATTTTAATTTACTTGATATAAAGTTGAGCTTTACAAGAATGTCCTTTGAGCAATGTACGAAATGTTGGTGAAGGATTATCCTTTGAAAAACCAAGCATAAAATTATAAACACCTGGTACTGAAAGAAAAGCGACATAATAATAAAATAACAAAACAAACCAAGTTTCAAAATAATTTACTTTTTCCTTTTGCTCCTTGCATAATCATTGTAAAACCTCTTGTTCGTGGCAATATATGATGTTTTAATTCTGGTAAATTTTTTTCTCGTGCATATTTCATACTTTCTAATCGTTTTCTTTCTGTGAATCGAGTACCTTCACAAGCCATCAAAAACTATAGAAAAATTAAGAAAAAAAAACTTGTTAACATTGCTCCATTGGATGGAACTCACACATGTTCTTTAACCTCATTAGGCTAACACACAACAGATCAAGTGAAAAATTTCTAGCAGACTGCCAATATTTACCAAGGATAATCGATTACCAGACGAATAGTCTGTTTTATTTATTCCCTCATTTCGAACAGAAATTTTTTCTGGTGGCTTATTGCTATTCACTTCTTGTTTTTCATTTTCGTATTACACTTTTCTTAATTTCACATTATTATTGATTCAACTGGTATTTAGTAAGTCTCAATCAGAAAAAGTACGACTTGTATGAAACGAATATGATATTCTGAATTAGCATTCAAAACTGAATTGACCTATTTGAGTTTTAAGTATTTTCATGAACTTCTTTTTTCGTAGGAAAATTCACTCTGCTGGTTCGCTCAGGACGAAATCTAAAATACACCTCATCGAAAAATTATTTGAACAATCAGAATTAAGTGTTAAGATGAATATACAATAAAACCTATGTTTTTGTGAACTTCATTTTTTGACTGATACCTGGGGGGCGGGGGGATCACGAGTGAATTTTTCGATGAGAAAAAAGTTTATGAAAATACTTGAAATTCACATAGATCTACTCAGATTTTGACTGCTGATCTAGAATATCATATTGATTGCACATAGGTCACATTTTTTTCTGATCGAAGTCTACTAAAAACCAGTCAAAATGACATAAAATCGTGTCTTGTGAATAGTATGCTTAAAATTTTCCCTAGAGACAAGTATTTTTTCCTCGTTATTTGTATATTCCATTTTGTTGGACTATCAAAACTAGTCTGACCGATCATCAAATCGATAGATAAAGAATAGCTGATAAACATCAACAGTCACATAATGTGATTTCCACAAACAAAATAAAATAACATACATTAAAATAATAATTATCTGGATAACCATTAAGAAGTTGTTGAATATCATGTTCTAATACTTTTTTATCACTTTCCCAAATACGACGTAAAAAAATTGATTCAGAAAAAAACCATGACCAACCAAGAATTGGTATTAAACTAAGTGAACGTTTTCCAACAATTTTTAAACCCTATTTAAAAAAGAAAAGACACATCCTTTTTCTTTAAATAAAATCAATTTTTTTTTTCTTTGCAAACATACTCCAAGTAAACCAATTTCTTGTGCAGCTACTAATCCAAGAAGCCAATCAATTTCATATCGATGATTAACAAGTATAATGGCATATTCATGTTGAAGATGTTTTAAATCTTGTGGATCAACATAAACTGTGATATTTGAATAGGCCCACCATGAGTAAAGAAAAGTTAATTCTAAAAACAAAGATAAATAATAAATTTTAATAAAATTTTCATACATACGACTCCATAATAATGTTCCTAAATAATAATTTATTCGACGATATAATTGTTTACTCAATGGCCAAATGAAAATGCATGTAAGAAGTTGAGCAAAATTCACAATTAAACCACTAATAACAAAACAATAGCAAAGAAATATTTGAACCGGTAATAATGATTGAATAGTATTAAGAAGTTTTCGATCGAACTTCATTAATTGAAGTCAATATATTATACACACACAGAAGTAATAATAATAATATATACGAAATCAAAAATATAAAGAAAAAAAAATGATATCATAATGTGCATATTGTAATAATTAATGATATGTAAATCATTATTCCACGTGCAAAGAAAAACAAATACCATAATACTCACTCTCCCCCTACAAAAAATTTGTTTTGTTTTGAAAGACAAAAATTTAAATGGATGGTTAGAAAATTCATTCCTATTATTAAAAAAAATGCAAAAAACACACTATTTTCGTGCAGATCTGAATTGATAAAGAAATAATAATAATAATAATAAAGTCATTCATAATCATATCTCAATAACCAACTATTTCCCCATATATAAATATCAAATATCACATATAAATTATTCCCAATCAATTTTCTTTTTGTATCTCGCCATAATACGAACCACGTTCAATTTCTGTTACAGCAATCATAGCTCGAACACCAATCGTTGCTATATAATAAACAAAAAGCATAAAGGATAAAGACGAATGAAATCATTTTTTTAATTCTTTGATAGTAAGATGTGATACATGATGATATTCTCTACATGTTAGTTTTTGTACAGCTGACGGAAAAATTCTTCGAACTTGTAATGTCTCACGGAAATCTGTGAAAAGTTTAATATCTTTCATTCCATTGAAAATTATGCTTCTTGATAGAGTCATATGTGCTGATTATGTATATTAATATCTCTACAGAAGTAAATTGTTTTCTAAATAACTTGAGAACGAAAGTAGCGAGCGGTCTTGGTTTGTATCGTTGGAAAGACTCATGTGGAAGATGTAAAGTTACGTCAATATTTGATTGGTTTTTAATAAACGAACCAGGAAAGAACCTGTTCGAAATTTTGAACAATGCTTTTGAAAGGCTTTTCCATTAGTCTTTAGACTCGAATAAGACCTTTCGATAATAATATTTGTTCTCTATTGATCAATGCAAGACTCATCTTGCTAGTTCATTTCGTTTAAAAGTTCAGTTCTCCTGAATTCTCTGATATCAGTAAATTGACATTTTATGTTCTAAGAATAGGTTCTCAGAAAGGTATTTAATCATGCGGAGTCGAATAGTAATATTCATTTTTAGTGTCAAAGTCATATGAAATCACTAGAGCAAAATGGTCCTTGTGAAGTTCAAAAGCCTTCTGAGAGCGGTGGTGTTCAAAATTTTGGATCGCTGCTTACTTGATCGATCAATTGAGAACCAATCAAACTAATATCATCAAGTATCATGTCTTACTACAAAATAATTAAAAAAGGTCTATTTTGTTGGAGAAACAGATCAATAGTCGTTTCAATTCTCATTCTTTCTATGATTCAATAGTTTGTTATTTACCAAGAATAACTACAATAAGAAAAATTAATTGAGCAATAAATGAACTTGTCCAAAGAAATTTAATAAGATAGAATATTGATGGTATTCCAATGATAATCATCCAACTAAGTTCAATTAATAAATCATAATAATTACGTTGAGTTTCAACACGAGTTAAACCATTACCTTCAAATGTATCATGATGCACAAAATAATCATAAATTTTATCTTTTTCTTCATATAATTTATAAACCCAATTGTTACATCCGTTACTATCTTTTGGAATTTCACTAAGCGGAATGCGTCGAACAAATATTTCTGCTTGACAAGAACGACCTTCTATTATGCTTAAGAGTCTTGGTTTAGCTCCACTTTTTTTAAAACCAACAGTCAAATCATATATTCCAGTAACTTAAAATCAACAAAATAATTAATAATAAAACTTATGAGAAAAAAGTCTTCAAACTGATTTTAATCCTTTTCGAATTAAGAAAATTTGCATCATGCTTACTGCGGAGATACTGCAACAATACACTACTTTTTAATAAAATGCCGCAATCTCTATAAGATGGACCGAAAAAATTGGTTTTCGAATACTAACTTGTTCTATTAACAGTTTATGAAGTAATCTCAACATGAAAGTTGATGAGAAGCTTTATTTCCTATCAAGAAAATAGTGGTTAACGTATTGAAATAGTAGAAAATCAGAAAAGTGTAAAAAAAACTAGTCTTTTTTATCCTAAATCCTTTACATGAAGGCTCGTCGAGCTCATATTGCTGCTTGCGATCTCTATTTGTCATCAAAATATGAGGCAAAAGAATTAAACTTGATGCTCTTTTTTACTCGGTAATGAGACTTTGTGATTGTGAAACAAAGCTTATTATATAAAGAACTGTATGAACTATAGGCAGACAAATATCAATACAACAACGTTTTTTTATCCATTTTAAATAAAAAAATTCCAAGAAGCTTTTGAGAGTGTAAAGTATTTCTTCATAACATTAGAGAGTAACTTATCTTACTTCGATCTTCTGATCCTTGTAATAATAGAGTAAAACCTTTTGTACGTGGTAATATATGATGTTTAAGTTCTGGTAAACCTTTTTCATGTGCAATTTTCATGCTTATTAATCGTTTTCTCTCAGTAAAACGTGTACCCTCACAAAAAAGTAAAAACTAAAAAAAAAAAAGACAGAAAATTTCAAAAATAAAAAAATAGACTAGAAAAAAAATAGTCTTACATTAAAAAAACAATTTTTTGGATAATTATCAAGAATTTTTCGTAAATCTTTAACAAGTGTTTCACGATCATTATCCCATTTACGTCTTAAAAATATTGATTCAGTAAATATCCAACACCAACCAATAATAGGTAATAATTTAAGAGATTGTTTACCAACTATTTTTGATCCTTGCATGATACCAAGACGTTGACAAATAATCCAACCAGCCATCCAATCAATATCGTATTTATGATTCATTCTAAATATTTCAATATATTTTTTTCTTTTTGTATTAAGAAAACAAAAACATAATTCGAATTACATAACAATAGCATGTTCTTTACGAACTTTTTCAAGATCATCTGGTTTTATATATAATGCACAATCACTTTTTGACCACCATTGTGCCGCGAATGTAAATTCTGTTAAAAAAAATAAAAGGTTTCTTAGAAAGCCTATTTTTCTAGTCGCGAGAGTGACTTGAATACTTCAAATAGTAAAAATCCTTCGAAAAGATTTCTACTCAAGTAACTACAAAGATTAAGGAATTGTGGATTCTTATTATTCAATAATAATTTTAATACAAAAAAAATTATCAGCACGGTTTCTACTGGACTCATAAGATGCAAATGGTTTGATTAAAATGGAAAATATTTTTTACAATATTGCACAAATATCGTACGAGAGAACTCATCTGACTAAAACTCTCCATTTGAGTTCCTAAGTACAATTCATAGTGTCGATTAAAACCCTGAACGGATTGATGCGAGTGGACCTTTCTTCTCAAGTAATGCTGATGCTATCTCTTGTTATTATAGTTTTATTTTTAAAAAGGTCAAGATATACAGACCTAACAAGAAAAAGAGAACTAGAAGAAAACGTTGAGAAAAAAGAGAAAATGATGTGATCTTTTACATGTGTTACGTTATGAACGCATAACAATGTGATTCGAACCCGACACTAACCGTCGCTAGCTATATACTTAAACGAGTAACTATTCTCTGACCAAGGTAGTGCAAAAAAATACAACATCAGTATGATCATTGTATCTGTGAAAGAATTACACATATCTAACGACGAGTAGAAAAAGGAATTTATTGAAAGAAGATTTCATCATGTAGAAGATAGAGTGCAATAAAATTACGAAGATGAAATGATAATTGAGTTATCATGAATAGTCTTGATAAGGATTTATTTTAGTAAAATTCCAGCTTATAGCAGGATTCGATGCTGAAAAAAATGGATTATTTTTCAAGCCTTCGTAGCAAACTTAAATCTTTACTGCAAATCTCTTATCTCAAAAGAGAGCTATCTATGTGAAATGATCTTTTCATGATATCACTAAAGAGCATAAGATCTATTGTTGTAGAAAATTTTAGAAAGAAACTTCGCTAAACATGCATATATCGAGAAGAAAGAGCCAATTGCAAAAATCCGCTGATAGTTCTTAACAATGTTATGAGTCTTACCTAAGCATGCACCAAAACTAAAGCTAGCTACGAAGTTAACTTTGAAGAATATACGCCCTCTCTTCATCCACGTTATCAAATAAATCATTTAAAAAAAGACTCAAATTAACAATAAATTTAATTTTGATCTCATTCATAGCGTATGAGTCATTTTTAATTCATTCTACACCTCATTTAACGATACCAATATTATAATTAACATCTGTTTAAGCGTATCTCATTGCTGACAAAATGCGAATTCTATTGAATATGTGACAGAGATGTCTATCGCGGCTGAAAGTCTACAGTTGCGGCCATAGTTTTCGAAAAATTCTTAACAAGATCTCTTCCTTAAACCGAATTCAAATTTATACAATTTTACAATCTTCCTGAAAAATAATTAACTAAGTACGAATACTTACGACTCCAGATACCCAATGCTAAATAGCGATTAATTTTTCGATATAATTCTTTATTAAATGGCCATATTATACAAGAACATAATTGTAAACAATTAATAATTAAACCACTAACCAAAAAAATATAACCAAGAAATGCAATAATAATAAATGATGATTTTAATTCATTATAAAAATGCATGATCTGAAAACATAACAAACAAAGAAAAAAACAATTTTAATTTGAAGATTTTTGCTTTAATAAATTTTCTTTCATATGATTTTCATCATTTATTAATGATATGAATAATATAGGATATTCAATAAATATTCTTTCATGAAATAAATCAATTATTGTATTAAATGAACGTTTTTCATATTTTCCAAATTGTTTTCGTTTTTGTCCAAAATTTTCAATATAAACACAAATTTGTTGTTCTTGAGAAAAATTTTTTAATTTCGAAAGTATTAATTCATCATTGATATTCGATGTTTCATTTAGATAATTATGAAATTTTTTTAAAATATTTGATAATGTTGTTTCATTTGTTGGTAAACGAGTTATTGTCCATATATAAAATGTATTAATAAAAAATCGACATTCAATATGCCAAAAAATATCATTTGTTTTTTTATCAAACCACATTTGATTTTGTTTATGTTTTGTTGAAAATCGAGGTAAATAAAGAATTTGTATAGATCCTAATGTTTTTAATTTATTTTGTATTAATTTTTGAAAATATTTTAATTCATTAAAGGATTTCATTTTATTTCCAAGTTCATTTCGTTTACTTGTTTCAACTTGACGATTAATTTCTTCTAGAAATCGATAATCTGATAAAAGATCAAGGTCATTCATTTTATTTAATGATGTAAATGATGTTTTATCTCGTTGTCCATTACAGTTTAAAGTTTTTTTATGTTGAAGACAACATGATAGAGAACATGTGCGTATTGAACATCGTGGACATGTATATTTTATTGGATTTTGATAACATATAGAACATTTTTTTGGATCTATAGAAGATTCCATCTAGAAATAAAATTATATCGTTCAAGTATAGAGTTCGCCTTTGAATTTTCTACAACATGATATACTTTTTATTATTGTCCTAGACATACACCAAATGAACAAAAATCGTGGCGGTATCTTAGCTGAGCGACTTACAACTCTATCTAATACAACTTCCTTTCACTTATTTTTTGACTGTATGGCTGAGTTCTTGCACAGATATTTCTTTCGATGTTATTATTCATAATTGGCAGTGTGTACAGTCGCCTAAAATTGAATAGTTCTATGTTTTTACAACTGAACTATGTCATGACTGATGATCGTTGATGATGGACGAGAGAAAGTTGTTCTGATCCTACTGTTGTATAATTGATAGATATGAGATTTCGAAAAACGATAGGCTGAATTATTGAAATACTAAAAAAAAATCAATTTTCTCTGGAACACTCGATATAAGTTAATATAAATGAATCTTCATAGAAATGTTAATTCTTTATCAATTCAAAATGTTTCGTATTGACATTTTCATGTGATCCGGAAAATAGCTTATCATGATGTAGTATAATTAATGAGAAATCTAAAGTAAAAACAAAATGATTCGAGTAGAATTTACTAATGGACGTTACTAATAGAGATCGTTAAGCCCGAACTTTTTGGATTCAAATGCGAAGAACTAGCTCTACCACTAGCTTCAGTAATAGAAGATAAATAAAGTATAGCAATGAATGATCGTTTTCTTGAATTCAATCAATTTGAAATTTTTATTTTTGTATTCGGGCCGAGAATCAGCCCCGTACTTTGAATCGATGATGTCGGATATGAATTCAAAATGAACAAAACAGGCGATATTACAATACTTAGAAGAATAATCAGTTGCATATATTATTATAGAGAAGAATTACTCTTGTTTTTCTACTTTTCAAACTAAACAATTCAGTCTCATTGTTCGCATTTGAATAGTCCTATAGAAAATTCTCTGTCAACTTTTCTGATTTCAGTAGTTCTGCTTCGAATGATTTGAACAGACAAGCTCAACAATGTGCAGGTCTGTTTACATACCGAGATGATATCTGTATAGTGTTTTCAAATACTTTTCTTTTTAATAGAAATCGGATTTGAGAAAAGAAACAAAGAATTACTCGTTTATTCCTGTCACAGTTACCTTTCGGCTTGATACCTATGTACTTTCTGTGTTTTTATCGTATCATGAGTAATGAAGGTAAGATATGTCGAACTAGTTTACAGGTACTTTTTATAGAAACTTGTCTTATCAAGTTCGTCACATATTTAGGTTTTATCTCAATTGAAAAATATTTTGAAATAAAAACCAAAAAGATTCCTTTCCAGTGACGCAGCCAGAAATTTTTTTTGGGGGGGGCCGCAATAGAAAAAAGACATTTTTTGACTAGCAAAAACGAATTAGCCTGTACCCCCCTCCAGGCATTTCGGTCTTTCGGGGGGGGATCGATCCCCATAATCCCCCCCCTGGCTGCGTCACTCTTCCTTTCTTCTCTCCAATATTTTCTTTTCTTGACATTAATGCAAATATTTAGATGAGTAGGAATTGCTATTTCAACAACATATTCAAAAAAAAATCTCGATTCAGAAATGAGTAGTTGTTTTCATTTTACGATCAACTAGCAACATTCTTTACTAAAATCTAAACATAACATATTAAAAAAGAGTCAAAATTGATTAGAAAACTACTGATTTATCAACACATCAATATTTAGAATAATCAGCGAAGAAATTTGTTCCGCAGTATACAAAAGAAAAATAAATTTTCATGCGAATATTACACAAGCTGATGTACCTATTTAAAAAATTTCTTTTTTACTCACAAGATGACAATTAATACATACCTATATGAGTTTAGATTTAAGTTAATTCTAAATAAATATTGTTATATAAAAAAAACACTATGCGAATAGTAAATCTAAAAATATAAATATGATACAAAATGATGAACTCATCAATTCAAAAGAAAATTGTTAAAATGAATTAAAATAGTTGAGGGAATTATCTATTTTTCCTAAACTATGAACGAAAATCTGATTACAATTCGATTGTATTATTCATATACATCAAAGTAAAGAATGCATAACAGTTCATAGAGTGTAAATTGTTACTACGGAGCGTTATTTTTACATAGTCGATTTACTTTAGAAATGAAACCTTGATATAATAAAGTTTGTCAAGGTGAATATCGTTTTTATCTAAAAGAAACAATTTAGTTTTGTATAATAAAAATAAACAAAATATTTTATTTGCTATTTATTTTTGATTTAATTGATGCCACCAATAAAACATAAATAAAATTCAATGTTTCTTTTCTTTGATATGTAAATTTTAATTCGACAAGAATATATATCCAATTATGACGTGTGATAAATAATAGATGTCGCTATTGTCTTGTGTGTAAAGTGCATGAAATATGAACTATTATCTATTGAAAAAGTCAACGGACTTAGTTGTATCAAAAATACCTCAGACGTAAAGTATCTAGAGATACGTGGTTTTCCGTATTTGACAGAGGACACATAAATTTGATAATCTATGTAAAAATTAAACAATCGAGCAGGGTATTCGCATTCGAATACTACATATCGTTAGGTATGTTTATACACGAGCTGTCTGTAATACAACTAAGTCTATTGATTTTTTCCAATGGACCATAGCTCCGTTACTCCATCATAGAACACTAATAGTCTTGTATTGTGTCCAAGCATACACAGTTCATAGAATGACTTTGCTATTATATCTCATTTATTTTCAATCTTTTTAATCCAAATAGTTTTTGCTGCAAATACAAATGGCTTTGAATAATTATTTCAGTACTCTGTGAATAATGATTCTCAATCAGTTATATGAAGATTTTATCGTCGAAACCTGTGTCCTCGACATGTTTCAGCAATACGAAAGTATGATAATGATTGAAGTTAAATCGAAGGACAGTGAAAAATGGTGAATGGAATTGAGCAAAAACTTTTAGTCGGTGTATTTTACATGTCAACATCAATGGTAATAAGAACATATGACTCACTGTGAAGTCCGATTTTCCTGCCTTAGTATAAGTCGCAGTCACATATGAATAAACATTTTTATCTAATAAATATAAATATGTGCTGTGTATTGTAATTCCAGATGATAAATCAACGTAATCAAATGTGAGGTCTGTTTTCTATTATCATTATTCATGGAAATAATAAAAAGTACTTTCTCATTTTCAGTCCGTTTGATATATTCGTAGCATTTCCTTATTTTTGAAAAAAATTTGAAATAATCGTTTACAGCACATAGTTTTAATTCAATTTTATTGTTAACAATATTTTCCATGTGAAGCTATATCAATGCAAGGCATTAAAGCGATGAGTTTATACTCGGTTTTCTTGAGAAACCAAAGAGAAATGTTACAGCTGCCTCAAATAGGGTCACTATCAAATATTACTAACTCTATTAGAATCAGAATATAGTTGAAAATTTCCAAAATAAAACTCTTTAACAGTTCTTGTTTTTCGTAGTAAAGCATGAATTATTCATGCCACTTACTTTACTGTTACTGCGTGTGTGTGTGTGCTTCCACGTGATGATACCAAACAAAAAGTAAAACTCGTATGCTGAGTGTCTCTCATTCTCCTTCGCAAAGAAGAAAAAAGAAAGAAAAACTATTCGACCTCCACCATATGACTAGAGTTGTTTTTTTTCGCCGTTTGAAAGAGAAGATTGTGTTGTTTTGGAGCATCTGTCGACTTGTTGATGATTTATTTCTACAACATAGTCTAAAATCTTTTTCTCAACTTCAAATTCATTGAGAGACATGCATTAAGGCCAAGCTTTTCAAACTAAATCTCAAGTTTTACGAGTTTGGCGTTGTAGATGAACAGAAGATGCATACCCAAACGTGCACCGTTGCTATTAGGTGTTCTTATGTAGAAATATATTGCATCGATGTTCGAGCAGTTGCTAAGAAATCAATTACTGCTCCTAATAAACATAATAAATCTGATCGTCTTAAATTAGTCAAAAACGATAATGATGATGTTTAACGATCGTGAAGAAATTGCATAAAAAAGTTGAAGATCAACTTCTAACAGTTTCTGTAAAGTGGAAAACTGCTATGTAAACATTCACTTGAGACACTGTGAGTTATATATAATATTCATATTGATCGACTGAGTTTTCTAAACACT